AGGTTCCAAATAAAAGCAACGTCAAGTCAAAATCCTTAAGACTAAACACAGTTCGAGGTTAAAATGCACTCAACTGTTCCATAAAACTCAAATATGTAACAACTAAAAAGAGTAATTTGATCCACTCCAAACATGCGCTATGCAAACACACACTCAAACTTATCCATGCAATTTTACCTCTAAATGAAATGCACATGCCTCTTGACCATAACACTAGGAATTTACAAACTTATTAAAACCGACACTTCAAGCAGTAAAATATAATTTTCACATCCATAACAGCATCAGATTTCGAATTCAGCTGCAGCACATAGGGCTCAGGTGAGACGCACTTCTCCACTTGCATGCACAGCCTTCACTTGCTTATCATACTCGTCTTCATCTTCCTCTTCCTCTTCCAATTCCTCCTCCTCCTCTTCGGGTTCTTCCTCGTCATCTTTGTCCTCATCCTCTTCGCCTCCCCAACCAAAGCCTCCAACAGAACGGGAGACCGGAGCAGGGGTCTTGGCCTCGTCCACAATTTTCATGATCTCCTCCACACTTTGAAGGGAATAGGTTGGGTTTTCTTTACGGTAATATGCTGCTTGAGCTGCATCAGTTAATTCCCTTGGCAAATTCTTCAGAAACCATGGGTGAGTCTTAATATCTTTGATTGAGGTCCTCTGCACCAAGAAAATCATATCTTAATGACACAGAACTATCTGAAACTCAGAGAAAAAGTCAAGGCCAGAGGCAAGTAGAGGATGACAGAATGAATATATTTTTTCATTATACAATCAATCCGAAGTTATGTATCCAAGATTAATAAATAAACTAGAAAATAATCATTCAACGTTCACTAAAATGCATATGACGTGAGTTCTTCAACAACTGTAATCCATCAAGAGCATACATACCCTGGCTGGATTGGCAACGAATATGTGAGAAAGGAGGTGCCTACAATCTTGAGATATGTGGACATAATCAGGGATCCTATACTGAACAGCCATTATTCGCTGGAAAAGAACATCAAAGCATAAATGAGTATTCAATAATTCCCTCATTTATTCAGGGATGCCTTGTCGCATTTGAAAGACAGAAATGAAAGAACTTACTTGGATGGTTTTCCTGAAGTTCTTCGGATCCTCTTGGTCTTCAAAAGGATAGGCTCCAACCAACATAACATAAAGAGTCACTCCACATGACCATACATCAGCCAACTGAAAAAATGTTAATAAAAGTTAATGAAAAACTTGCAAAGCAAAAAATATTACATTTCTGCTACGGACATACACACGTAGAAGAGATTACAACTGAAGAGAGCTCTATTGGAACCATGGTGTTTATAGCCATGCTTACATACCAAAAAAACATAATGATGTGTTTACCTTTCCGTCATATTCCCTTCTTGACAGAACCTCTGGAGCAATATAAGCAGGAGTGCCAACTGTAGATTTGGGCCTTGAATGCAGCAGAGATGACTAAGCAAACAGAAATATAAATACACTAAGTACATTCTGCTCGACATGACAAAGCCAGATACTCCCACATATCTTTAAATTATCAGAAAACAATGTGTTGACCTTTGAATAACCAAAGTCACAGATTTTTAGGCGGGGTGCAGGGCTTCCATCCAGAAGGGTATTCTCCAGCTTCAAATCTCTATGGCATATTTGCTGCAGAGCACAAGAAAAATTCAGGAAAGAATAGTTCCAGCACTTGAAAAGAGCGATGGGATTCCGAAAATAATTTATACCCACAAATACATCGATACATATGAGCTATATTGAAAGCTAAATTTCAGTTACCATGGAGTGACAATAGTTGACTCCAGAAATAAGCTGCTGAAAGAAGTACCTAGCCTGGAAATGAAAGTGAAAGCATATAGCACATGGAAATTCAAAATGTAAATACCTAAGTAATATGTTTCTTGAACCACTTTTCCGTGGCACAGAGAGTGTTGAAAATAAGTTATAATACCTCATCTTCACTGAATCTTCCAGCACTGCAGATTCTCTCAAAGAGCTCTCCACCTGCTGCATACTCCATGACAATGGCAAGATGGGTGGGAGTCAACACGACCTGTAAATCCAAAACACAAACAGATATTCAGCACAATAAAACTTCTAACCACATCTCACTACATAAACAGAAAATGTGAGAGAAAACTTGGAAAACTTTGGGGTCCTCACCTCCTTGAATCGAATTATGTTGGGATGCCGAAGTGATCTGTGATTAATTATCTCTCGTGCCACATTCTCATCAATCTACAACCAATGTTACATCAAATTGAACAAAAATAAATTCAAATGTTAATGAAATTTAATCTCATGCCCAACTTCACAATTGTATAATTTACTCATATAACTAAGAAAGAGATCCGGAATGTTGAACATCAGAGTAAAAAGTGTCGGAAGATTCACGCAGACACACGGTGCAAACCAAACTACTACATATAATATCACATTCAATGACGATTGACAATAAAATTAGTGACCTATACTAAAAGGAATAAAGAATACAAACCTTATGTCCTCTTTCAATATATTTCATAGCCACAAGTTCTTTAGTCTCCTTGTTCCTCATGAGCCTCGCCACACCAAAATTTCCAGAACCTATATCCTTCACAAGCTCGTATTTCTCCATTTTTTCCCTTTCCCTCACTTTCTACTGTACAAACTCCTTAAATTAAAGTTAAACCCACAAAAACTTTAAAATGCCTGAGATTTAGTTCCTACCCAATTTCAGCTTAAACTAGAAATCAAAAGCTAAAATTAAGAAATTCAGAACTCAATTCCATAGAGATTTCTTAAACTAAATTTTCGATCTTTTCCGGTAATATTAACAAAAATTCAAGCTAATTAGAAATATCTATCAAGCTTCAAATCATTATTTGGAAAGGGATCTATAAATCATCATATGAGAAGGCCCAATTTAGGAACTATTTGATCAAAGACGCTTCGAATTCAATACGCTACTTGAAGTTTCTTTTTCTTTGATCAAAATTGGGAAATTAGGGTTTACAACACTAACAAAAAAGATTGAAAAAGTAATAATCTTACGGCAATTGAAATGGGTTTTTAGCAAGGAATAGGAGATAGTTGGAATTTAATTATGGGATCTGCTAAAAAAATAAATTAAAAAAGGGA